TCGGTGCCCCGTTACAGCCATATTTACGAAGATCACGATCTCATGCGTTCCAAAGGCAGGCTCCAGATTTTCAAGAAGCTTAACAACATCGAAAGCCGCGCGTTGACAGGCGAGAGCGGGAGCTTATGTATCGAGTATGTGCAAGCAGCAAAGTATGAGATCCGATCTCTGATTGAACAATATTCTCCGAGTGATGTGCTTAATTTGGATGAGACAGCATTATCTTACGACTTGCATCCGAACGAAACCCTATACACGGTTCGAAACAGCGGCAAGAAGATTGTTAAGTCACGCGTTTCAGTTGCTATGTGCTGCAACGCAAGTGGCTATGAAAATCTGGTGCCCATGATCATCGGGAAGTTCAAAAAGCCAAGGTGCTGAAAGGGTGCGGAGATCAAGAAGCGTGGCATCGTATACGCTGCAAACTCAAACGTCTAAATGACTGTAGATATCTGTGATAAGTGGCTGCATCAATTTAATCTTCGAATGCATGGGCGCAAATTCCTGCTACTTCTTGATAATGCTTCCAGTCACAAGGTCGAACGAGAACTCAACAACGTCAATGTGGTATTTTTTCCGCCTAGCATGACTTCCGCTATTTAGACGCTCGATGCAGGTACGCATTAGTCTCATAATTTATAAATTTGCGTCATAAATCTATATTAATTTCCTCACCTATATACATATATTTTATATAGATATCATCCGATTGTTTTAAGCTCGCTACAAGAAACTTCATATGCGATGGCGCATGGATCGGATCAAAGCAAACACGGAACGCAGACGTAATGTCCTAGAAGCCATTGAGTTTGCAGCTGAAAGATGTAACAGTATTGGCGGGGAGACCATTCGAAGTTGATGGATCAAGAGTGGGATCATCGAAGCGCCACAGGTTGCTGATTTGCGTGCACAAAACGACTTTCGACAGTCCAGCCTCGCCTTCCGACAAGACTGCTATGATCTGGCCGAAATGTTTCAAAATTTTGGTGTAACCGTTAGCGTGGATGGTTATGTCGAAATCGAGGACCGCGAGCAGATTCACGAAGAACAAGAAGCTCTGATTGAAGCAGAAGTGGAGCTCGCGGAAGTCGAAAGAGTAGAAGATCAAGCGCCTTTCAGTGCAAAAGAAGCACTAAAGTGCTGCCTGCTTTTGCGTTCGTACTTCGTACGCTCATAGGATGACACGCGAATCATACAGTCAGATCTGGATAAGATGTCGTCGATTATTCGCAAGAACCGGCACGCTAGGGCGAAACAGCTCGACATGAGAGACTTCATTTAGTAAAAAGCTTACATTTCAATAAAGAGAAATCCATTGAAAAAATCCGCGGGTGACGCTTTAAAAATATCATGCAACTTCTTCCTTTCAGATTCTCTATAAGAGACTTTTTATCAGACACGCTGTAAAAATTGGGCACAAAGTTTTCTCTTATAGAGAGGGGTAAGTGTAGTAGTATACTCACAGTCGCTGTGCTGAGCGCCAAAACTCGAACTGCGCCTTTCGACAAACGAAAACATGTCAAAAACGCATCGAGCCCGGGTAAGCCTCGACATCGCGTGCGTTGATCGTGGCGGCAGAATATTGTTGAACGAAAAGACATGTCAGTTTTCAATCACCATGATGATGTAAGCCATACCATGCCCCGATTCCCGCACTGTTTCTCCATTGCAGCGCATGACTCGTACAAAATGGCGAAATAGAAAGTGGCGTCTTTGATGCCATGCAAGTATTGGCCCTGACACCTGTGCGCCACGTATGTTTTATATGTGCTCCTCGACTTGTTTGCGGTAGTGCAGACAGACGCCACGATCGTCAACAAGGAGTGGCCACCGTACACTCGACGCGAATCGACCGAGTTGATATCGATCCTGAACCGTCATTTCGTCACCATTGTGCCAATTCTCTCGCACGGATGCTATCAACAGCTCTTGCATCTTTTACGCGGGATTGCTAACGTATGTAGATGAAGATGCCTCAACCCGATCGACCATCCTTGCATTTCGGCTTACAGCAACAAGCAGCGTCAACTTGTGGAAAGCTTTTCAAACTCATTGGTAGATGCATGTGGCGATGCACCAGCCTATTTTTCTGTTGTAATGCATAATGAAAACGATGTCAACTAGTGGCACCCTTGACGATGCACTAAACTGAACGCACCAAAGTCCGTTCATTCGTCAAAGAGCTGTCACAATTCCTGAGTAACGCTAAAGAATGGCGACCGCTTCTTGATGAAGTATATGTGTAAACATACATCGCAGATAGAGGAATGCAACTCCAGCAAGAATGAAAGCAGGACTTTACCTGGACGACAATGATATCAGAGCACTGCATGAAGAAGGCCTTGATGACATGCGGGGTCAAGCCGATCTGTCCGCCCAAGTGCTGTCAAAAAGTTAGTCTTGTAAGACGGAAGAATAAGCCTATAGCTGATCGAGCGCTTGGTTTCCTGCGTTTAGGACAGTCTCAATTAGTCAATTGATTCGTATCGAAGGGAAGCAAAAAGTCGCGAGTCCGAGCATCGTCTTAGATTAGTCGGGGCACCATTCAACAGATCACACTGGTCATGCAATGTGGGTAAATATGGCGTTTGATTCATCTATCGAAATAACGGGATCACGCTCAGCCGGCGTCAGCAGCCGGAATATCGCACGTTGCGCTTGGTTTCATCACAAAAACCAATTAAGCAACCTTGCAATCAATGATATCAACAAGACATAAGTGTGAAAGCAGAAGAAGGTAATGTAGTCGATGATCGAATTCGGCAAGAGCTCTCGGGTGGGTCTGGATCAATTGTACTCAAACTCGAGATTCGACCAGATCTTCCACTGCCGTCGCTTATTTTTCAGATAGACGCAAGTGACCAGCGTGGCATGTTAGACGATAGGTGACATACGGCTGTGTTCCGCTTTCTCGACAAACAAATGCTTTTCCATCTACCAGTTATAGCCTGCGCATATGTGCGAAGGGAAAACCGTGCATCAACTCATCAGCACGATGAGTTTCTTCGATTTTCTTGCAAACAATTTGATCGTACACTTAGTGCAAGATCCTTCAAGTCTTCTAGAACAAATCCCCTCTCTCCCAACGTTCTCGCGAACGAAAGACTTCCTTGCGGCAGTACTCACATTGTGCAGTTTCTGGTGTCGTCCCGTTGCTTGTAGATTCGTTTGGCTAGGACTCTATATCACTCTTCCTCGGCTACGACGCAAAATTATACCTCTGTCATCCCTTGACGAGGATTTCTTCTGACAGGTGAAATAGAATGAGTTACTGATACTTCAGCTTTGTAACTTGCCGAAGGACCCATGAGATCTTCGGTGTCTCTCGAGCGAGCGTATGCATGAGTATATAAAAAAGCGGCTATGAATAGGATGATCGACATAAATCATAACCAAGGCTAACCCGCTATCCTTACCTTGGATGATCAGAAAAATTCTACTACAGTCTACATCTAGCTCTGGCCTCACTTACCCTCGTCTGTCAAAAGTGTTCAATGACCGATTGGATGCTTCCATTCAGCCAGTTTTTCCTTGTCAATGAAGTTTGGCAATATTCCGACCAATAATGACGGTGTCCCGACCATAGCGGCGTTGTCCGGATCAATGATCAGGGCTCCCTGCACTTGTAACCATTCTGGTTTTTCACATACAGCGTATTTGTCAAAGCAACCTCCGATCCCCCAATCGATAATGCCGACCCGTTTGGCAAAGATCGGTGGTACGCAAGGTGAAGCAAAGGCGATGTAGGCTAAGATATGATACTACTGTTTAATTATGCAAAAGCTTACAAGTCCGAATCTGGGTCAGAAATTAGTCTAATCAGCTCATACCCTTTGCTCCATCCCGAGCTTTCAAGTTGCTCCGCTCGCTCTAGTTAAATTCTAATGCACTTGTGCTTCGGCCAAGTTGTTTACTTCAGGTGCAACGCTTCCGTCCTGTGCATGGCCCGCCACTTCGTGTAATAGCAGAGAAGTCTACTACTTGATAACAAGCGCGTCGCTTATACTGTTGCGCGAGCCGACCTTCGTTCTCTTGTAGCTAGTGCCCGCAGATGCGTGAGACCTCCTCGAACAAATTCTTGAGCACTGCCTTTCACTCTTGCCTCCTTGCCCTCAAACGCTAGTCGGTTTCGTTGACTCCATGAGGCTGTGACGCATACTGAGCGCAACGTCCACCACTTTCCTCGTATTCGGGCTCACAGATCATGGCAGTTAACCCGAACGCTCGGTGCAGCTTCCGGCAAGAGCTAGAGACACATCTGGTGGTGTTCGTGATGTATGATGTTTCAATTGTGTCTTATATTGTGTCTTGGTCTGCACGTTTCCTCGACGGTACAATGCTGCAAGTAGCTGATGGCAGACACTGCAGTACGAACACGTCACAGAGCGTACCGACGGTATCACTTGTCCATCTTTTCTGACTTGATCCTGCTGTCGGGACGTTCTTTGGACCTATGTCGAAAGGTGCCCTCTACATACTTTTGAGGCCGTGCGAAAGTGGCGTTCTAGCTAACAGACCAGCACTTGTAGAGCGAGAGACAGAGAAAGCGTCAAGACTGTTGCACGCGCTACAAGTCTCGGGGCGCGTCGGCCGTCTGCTGCCACTTACCTCTACGTTTGCCCTTCTCGCAACTCTCGACGCTTTACAGCTTTGCGACTGCGTTACATGTCGCTATGGTACAATTCATGACAACTGCTGTGCCATCGAAACGCATGTAACAACAGCGATAGGATCTGCACAAGTCCCATAACATGACACAACGACTCACTGAACACACACAGTGCGCTAAAACGGCTGCATCAGCAACAGCGTCTGCAGCTTTGATTGCAGTTTAGGCGTAGCGCACCACTCTCGACCTCTGTTGATCAGCTGAGCAAGCGACGACATCGTCGGGATCTCCTCTTTCGTCGACAAACGAGTGACGACACGGCAAAGCGCAGTGCCAACCACAGGCGAGCAGCACAAACTCCTCGACGTGCTCGCACGCACTGCTCACGTCCCTAGTCCACGTCTTCCACAGCCGACGCGCCGGTCTTCCGCTGGCGCAGCGACGACGACGACGACAACGTCTCTTGTTCGCTTGTCGCCTCTCTCTTGCTAAACCGGGTCAAAACGTCAACCACGTCGGCATTCTCTTCGCCCTTGGCCACCTCCGCCGCCGTCCGCCCATCGGACGCCTGGACCGCCAGCAGCTCCGCACACAACGCCGGCGAGAGGCTCGACAGCAGCGCCTCGGCCGCCTCGGGGCGTCCGTGGAACGCGCTCCAGTGCAGCGCCGTCCAGCCGTCGCCGTCCACCGCCAGCACGTCCGCGCCAGCCCGCACGACCTTTGCGATGAACTCGTCCGTGTCCACGGGCGAGCCGCACGCCACCATGAGCGCCGTCCACTGGTCCTCGTCCGTCTTGGCGTTCACCTGGTGCTGCACCGCCGTCCAGAGCGCGTCAAAGTCGGCGTCGGCGCCCGCCGCCAATGCTTCAGCAACAGCTTCTTCCGGTGTCACGTCCACCTGCTGTCGCTGCTGCTGCGTCTTCCGCTCGACGGCGTCGTCCACTGCTGCAGCTTCTGCGGCTGTCGGTGTCTCGCCCGCCGTTGCCGCTGCTTCGGCGTCGGCGGCCGACTCGCCCTCGAGCCGCTCGTGCCAAATGCGGCCGTGGCGCCGGCCGAGGAGGTAGGCCTGCACGAGCGGGTTGTCCCAGAGGTTGAGGGGCATCATGATGCTCTGGATCAGCACCACGTGGTTCACGCCCATCTTGAAGTGCACGAGCGACGAGATGCCCGCGCCAATGAGCGTCTGCTTGAGGAACTCGTTGGCCTTTGCGAGCTCGTGGGCCTCGTACGTCGACTCGGTGAGCTCGTCGTAGTTGGGCGACTGGTCGAACGGCGACTTGACGCCGGGCACGAAGATCCGGCGCGTGTCGTGCTTGCGCGCAATGAGCTGCTTGAGGTAGAGGCCCACGAGCAGCGCCGTGGCTTGGCACACAAAGAACGCCGTGCGGGCCGCTAGCAGCAGCACCTCGTTCTCAAAGTCGATCTTGCCCATGACAAAGATCATGGGCAGCATGATCAACATGCGCACGGGGCTCTGCTTGCCCGTCATCGCAGCGACGTGGCACAACGGCAGCGAGCGAGTGAGCGAGCGAGTGAAAGGAGAGGGGAGAGCTCTCTTGACTGGCGCGTGCGCAAAGCTTTCGTGGCGCTGCTGTGGCACGAGGGGCACGTATTGTCACTCACACTTGGAGTGGGGTAGAAACGGAGTGGCTCTGGCTGCGTGTGCTGGAAAAGAAATGGTCGCAGTTGCTGGCTTTTGGCAAGAAAGAGCGAGCGAGCGAGCGAGCGAACGACCCGTGCGTTTCGACTGCGTACTACGTGGCTTTGGGACTGGCGCAATGCCTCTCGAGCTTAGTCCTGCTGTTGTCTTGCAAAATGTATGGCCGAGGAGTTTCCAGCGACGCGAGCAGAGCTCTCTCTTTTTCCCTCTTGCTTCGTGTCGACCGCCGGCATTGCAGTGCTGCGCGACGTCATGCATGTAGAAACTCGTCAAGCACCTGCTCGTCACACAGACACTCGAAAAAACACGCAGACGGCTTTCGAATCGACATCATCATACGCAAGTCAACACCGCGGCCGTCGTCAATGCAGCCGCGACCGATTGCGCGATTCAGCACGGTGAGCTTGCTTCATTGCGTGCGGCCCAAGCATCCACTCACTCACATGCAAAGCACAAAGCGCTTCGTTTCCGCAGCATTACGACATCAGCCGAGTGCTACCGGTTCGCAGGTTCAGTCGTCTCGAGCGAGCACTTGATACATGCGGGCAATGCTGTGTCCCATCTTTGTTTGTGGCTGGAGGGCGTTCAAGCCGTCTTGCACTTCCAGTTGCACTTGCTTCCCTGGGCCCTCCGAGTCGAAACGATTGATATCGGACGGCACCTGAGGCACATGTAGTTGTCGCTTGCTTGAGGAGGAGCTCAGTGAGCTACATACCGACATGCACACCCCTTTTTCTCAGCGACAGCATATGGCATCCGCCGTTTTTGCACGGCGTCCACACAAGTCACGTACCTGCCGTCGTCCACAGCTTTGACAAGTCGGTCCAAGAGCGCAGCGCTGCAGTCTTGTACAGCAGTCGGCAGTTTGGCCACGTCCCTGCTGCGGTTCCTCAGACGACACTTAGTCCACACACACACATACGCATTGCCCACTTCGGGCACGAGACACAGGTCGCTCACATTGGCACGTCGAGTCGATCCACGTGCAGCAGCAACAACGTGTTCGGACACGCGCCGCGTCGCGCGACTGCGCGCTTGGACTGGATGTTGCACGATTGTCGCCCCGACGGGGCCACCGGCGGCGGCCGTGCGCACGCCGTGCACCGATCTCGCGCTGCACTGCAACACGTTCGGACGTCTCGTAGAGCTCCTTGCAGACGGCCCACGTTGTCGTCCCACCGCTCTCCTTTCTGCTGGAGATCGTCCAGAGCGGCGTGCAGCAGCTGCAGATGGGTCTTGATGTCGCCCAAGCTCTCGGTGGTTGAGGCCGCGTGGAGAGGGGGCGAGACGCTATGGGGATGAGGAGGCAGCAGCGCCACCGACGCCTCGCGCGTGTTCAACTTGTGCTGCCACCGTTGCCACAGCCATTGCCTCTTGTCCTGCAGCATCTCTTGCACGGTAGCGATGCGGGGACGGTGTCGCCAAAGGCTCTGGACGGCACTGCTTGCGTAGGGCCGAAGCTCAGACACGACGTTCATGCCCTCGATCATCAGCGACAGGCAAAACGTCTCCAGGTCGACAGCACACGACGTCCGTTCTGCGCGTGCTGTCGGCATGTGCACGTTGATGTGTGGAGCGTGAATGACGCAGGTAGCAGAGTGACGGTCACTTCAACTGTGCGAGCGGACGATGGCATGATTCGTGCATGATGCGGAGCAGAGTGAAGGTCACTTCAACTGTGCGAGCGGACGATGGCATGATTTGTGCAGGATGCGGAGCAGAGTGAAGGTCACTTCAACTTACAACTTCAAGGTCAAACTGGACACGCTTTGCCTGGCTACATGGCGCTCATCTGCGATAGGAAGCCTTGTTCGCGCTACTTCGTGACCAATCGAGTAAATACTACGATGTTCAGCCTACTCTAAGTGCACTTCTCCTGTGGCGAACGTTGCATGGTCCAATCTGGAACAATCAGCCTGGGTGTAGGCAAGGTCCTGCCTGGCAAACACTTGGAGCAAGAAAAAAGTAGAAATGTACAAAAATTTACGAAAGAAATGCATGACAGCAAAAATGTGCCTCCATTATTAACCTGAATACGGCCGAATGTACGCATGAATCATTTTAATAAATTTAAGTATATATTTTATTTTACTCCTATTCCAGTGACCGCGAACCTGTACAACTTTTTCCATTGGCGGTCACCCTACAAGAAAACAGACAGCCTGGCGCGTTGAGCGTTACATGTCCTTGATGTTTATAGTTTATTAACAGTCTGCATTATTTTTCATTCTTTCTTTCTCATATCTTTTTATTCATATCGAGAAGGTTCGCGATCTGAATAAAAAGGTATAAGAAAAAATGTTCGAAATAGTTTTTGCCGCATCTTTTAGTCATTGAGACAGCGCTGTGTCAAAATGGCGCGTGGGCATTGCTGTAATTGATGTAATGGCACGACTCGCAACATCGGACGACCTATCTAGAAAGTGAGCAAGAGCAGACAATGTACTATATAACTGACGGATTTTTGCGTGGGCTATTGCAGGTGGTTACGCGAATGCTCGCGGACACGTGAAGGAAACCGAACGCTAACAGAGCACGCAACGATCAGAGTAGAATGTACTTCGTAGATAGTGATCGTAGTGCTGTTCGCATAATCTACAAATTGCAGTCTGGATGCTGTGAAGATAGATGTAGTATCGCTATGTGCAGTAGATGACAAAATGCGCACAAGCGCAGATACATTGGTCCTTTCGGTCCACCTAGTACATGTAGCACGATCTCATCACGCTTCGTTGTGCCACATTCTTGACAGGTGCGGTCTCAGCGCGCTGACACAGAATACTGGAGCTAGCACCACAGAGCTTGTCAGATTCGTGACATTTTCGTGTCAACATGTTTTACGGTGTAAGGATAAGCGACCGATTCATTCAAAAAGAAGCAATAAGACTACCAAACCGCTGGTATTGCGAAATTCTCGTCAATTGTTACTGCAGTACGCATTTTATTGACCTCGTCAATAGAACTATGTATCCTGTGTGTGCTTAACCGTATATATACTTTAGTGCGGCTTTATTTCCTATATTACTGGACTATTCGGTGCTTTACGCTTTTCCACATTGTGACGCATCTTGGTATTCTTATCTCGTGGGGCCTTATTCGCGACCATATATTCTAGTTTGTGTATCTATGCTTTTGAAAAAATAAAGGTTCTAACGGGTGGGCCCGTGTGATTCATAACATCAAGCTTATGTCTGTCGTGAATTATGCCTACATCCGACAATACCAGCTGATTTGCTTATTTGGGTGACAGATGACATTATATTAGAGAATAGGGCGCCCTGTAAAGGGGTGGCCCTGTCATGCGATTGTCGGAACAATTGGACTCTAATATTATCTCCGCAGGTCATATTTAGCAAGGTCGTTGGTGACAACATCATTTGTAGTTGGTAAAGCACTACATATTGTCCAACATAGCTCATGGTATCAGCAGATGAAAAATGCCAATTTATTGCTAGTCGTGTGAAAGAGTAATGAACAAGGAAGGCAACATTCATGTTTGTTGTTCAGTATCGTACACGTGATGTTTATAGGGTGTGATCTTAAAAAGGAATAAACTATGTACAACACATTTCTCTTCTCTCATTCCGCTAAGCGTCAGCCGTTAGATGATCAATATATATATATATATATACCAGCTCAAGTGATGTTCGGCAAACCTAAATACACTTTCTTCCGGTTGAAAAGCTCTCTTATCTCGCTGATTGTCATCATGGTTCGTGTAGGATGTTCTGCTTCACCTGTAAGCACTTGCGTGGTCCATAAATCGATTACGAACACAATCACCATGGAAGTGGTGGACGACGGTGGCTACTACATCACGCGTATATGCATCTCCCATTTGAGTGACTCCAAAGGGAAAACGATCGAACATATATGTTCGCTTGTCCTTTGGCTAAACAATCAGTGTAATGTTACTTACATCAAAAGATCAAGATACTTTAAGCGAACGCCATTCCACACAAATTGAATTTACGAGGTAAGAGATTTCTTGCTCTATCAAAGGCTTTCGGACGATGCAAGCGTGGAAGTACTAGAACGCGTTGTAGTTTTAGTTGATAGAGAGCTTCAACCTGGTATTCTTGCGACAGGACGACGCATGTGCATCAACCCATGGGCTTAAATATCAGGTTTCCAGATTATGTACATTCCAAGGTAATTTTATGGAGAGACGGCTATCTAAACGGAGGCGTCATCGAAGCTCTAACATCGAATGGGATGCGATAAAGGCGAGGTTCCGCATGTTCAACCTGAAATTTCTTATCCTCTTGTCATTCGTGTAGTATAAATTGTCCAAAACTTTTTATCAGTACAATTTACTATTATTAGCTGATGCACTTTTACGTTGACGTGATTACAAGTCAATTGAGCTACATCACAATGGCACAACCTGATGTTTAGATCACGTCTCCCGTACCGCTGTCCGTACATCTTGACGATTTTAGCAAATCTACGCGCAAAATAAGAGCTTTATAAATCTGATGTTTCTTTTGTTAGATGTATACCGGCAAAACGTTTACGACTACCAACAGTATATCGGTCCCCTTTCGATCGATAAAAACTATGCAAAATCTTTTTGTAGTATCCAGCCGTTGCCGGCGACACGCCTAGTATAATCATCGTATTCGCAATGACCCGAGTTTTGAGGTACCGTATGAGTGTCATAGTTTTTCTGTGAGTAGGAGCTCTAGTCGCATCAAGACTTTTTACTAGCCATTATCGAAATGTACTTGCCACACTAAGTCTTCTCTCAGGTTCACTTGCAGACTCACAGGCGACGAAAGCATCATAAATATGTGTGATACTACGTACGTGCTCAAAAAGTACGTCAGCGGGTAGAACAACACCCACGCTCCATTTGCGGCAAAAGCCTTAACTGAAGTTGGCAAATGGCGGGTGTCCGTTTTATAAAAATATCATAACGGAATGAAAACTGAAGATGATCGCGAGAATACTTAGTTTTTTGTTTTTGTCGTTTTGGTGATTATTACATCTTGTTTTTGTTAAGGAGCTTATTATAACAGAGGGCTATACTTGTGGATTAATTGACACGTTAGTTTGGATAAATAACACTAAATCTCCGACCGCACTTGAATTATATATTGAATGTATTGACCAATAGTGTGAGCCTAGTGATATAAAACTCTTTTTAAGGAGTCGAATTGCACAAAGGCAAAATTATATCCAATCCGAGAGCAGATAAAAAGTACAGCTCTCTCAGCTACTTCTCCTACGTATCAGGTCGGAGAAAACAGTGCTGTTATGGTTATCACGATACAAACACCAAGTTATTCGCATATTTTAAAATAATACACAAGCTCCGACATATCCGACAAAGGGTAACTCAATCGCATATTTTACAAACAACATCCAAGCTTTAACATCTCCTTTGAGGATGAGTCTGACCGACCAAGCACCTGCCAACACAAAGCGTGCCCGTGAGAACGCAGCGCGCTCATTATTAAAGTTCCTCGAGCAGGAGGAGGTTACTTAGGAGTACTTGCAACAGTGCATGTTGCGCGACAGGGCACCTCTTGCACTAGAAGCTGTGATGGACAAGTTTGGCATGTATCTTGCGTTCAAGGAAAGCCGAAAGAGACAACTCTTAGCTCGACACTCGGTCATGCAGTATTTTCGACAAGCCAAGAATTGGCGTTGAAGCAGTTCCCACAGCATCGAGCAGTGGTTGAAATAAATTTGCTTAAGAAAGGACAGACACTCGAACGCCATTGCATGAAGCGTGAGTCAGGGTCGTTTGTAAACAAGGCCCCAGCATGCACAAAGTCTGCTCTCAAGAAAATGATGGAATACTTGTATTTAACTGCAGTTACTAGTGCTGACTACCAAGATGCGGCGCTGTTGTGTTTGCTTTGGTACCTCTTCGGGCGTGCATCGGACCTTACAATGCTGCGGAAGGCAAACCTGTCAATCGGCTCGGGCGACATATTCTTCGTCCGATTTATCCAAATTAAAACTTCTAAAGAGCAAGGTCTTTCACTATCCCCTGACGTAGAATTTACCACATGTCCTCTGCTTGCCATAGCTCTCAACCTCGTGACCCACGCATCGCCAACTATATCCGTACTGAGTCAACTTCCTGAGCAGATGGCTATCTCACAGTCCATATTAGCTCCAGCAACTACGCTCATCGATTTGCTCGATCATCCAGAGGCTGTGGTGTCTTCACAGGATATATTATTCACCGCTGCAAAGAAGGGTAACATCACAGATAACGCTCCTGGTGTACACAGCTACATCAACCGTGTTCTTGATCGGGTCGCTGTAAAAGCTGGCGTATCCGAGCGCTTGACATCTCACTCTTTTCGGCGCGGAAGGGCGCAGCATGCAAATGGGGCTGGATTGTGTGTACAGTGGATCTTCGACCGAGGCGCCTGAAATATGACAGCGACAAACAAGGCCTTCGCTTACGTGATAAATACGGCTTCCGAAGACCATAAGGTTGCCCGGGTCTTGAGTGGGC